GTATATCTTGCACATCATTCTATTAAATTGGATTCTAAGTTTCGCAAACCACTCTACTAATTCGGTTAGTCCTGTTCACCACTCTAGACTTACACACAACTCTCTCTACTAATTAGGGTTAGTCTCACACATCACTCTTTACTAATTAATGATAGTCTCGTACACTACTCTTTACAACTTAGGGTTAGTCTCGCACACCACTGTTTACATATTAGGGTTAGTCTCGCACACCACACGCTACTAATTAAGGTTAGTCTCGCACACCTTTCTTTACTAATTAGGGTTAGTCTAGCACACTACTCTTCACTAATTAGGGTTAGTCTCGCACACCACTCTTTACTAATTAGGGTTAGTCTCGCACAACATCGATACTAATTAGGATTAGTCTCGCACACCACTCGATACTTATAAGGATTAGTCTCGCACACCACTCGATACTAATTAGGGTTAGTCTCGCACACCACTCGATACTAATTAGGGTTAGTTTCGCACACCACTGTTTACTAATTAGGGTTAGCCTCACACACCACTATATACTTATAAGATCACTCTATACTAAATAGCTGGGGTGAGTCTCGCACACCACTCTATATTAATAAATATTAGTCTCGCACACCACTCTGTACTAATTAGTGTTAGTCTCGCAAATCACACTATACTAATTAGTGTTAGTCTCGCACATACCACGTTCCAATTTGATTTATTTACGAATAATTTTTTCTCGTTTCAAATCAATTAATATCTTCCACATGTGTGCATCAACAAATAATATCTAAAGTGCATATTTATAGACATACATGTACCAGTGAAAACGTAATGGTAATGTTTAATTTTTATCTGCATCCTTGGGAGTAGTTAAATTAGTTAAATTAAGTTTTTTGAGACTAGTTTTATTTGATTTAAACATAGTGCACTTACCTTCGTGTTTGCAATTGTCGGTATGGAAGGATGAGGACCATTTGACTGAAAATGTCCTCCATAGGCCATTCATTTCAGATTCAAGCACGTCTTCCAGTTTGTCGGATGAAATACATTCGATATTTTGTTGCATCTCATAATTTCCTTTTATCTCTAGAAAGGTTTTCTTGTACCATGCCTCGCTCAGGCGTCTTCTATCCATTACCTCAGTATTTTTATCTAAATTCATCCATTCTGACCCCAAGTGTTCGTCGTTATAGGCATAGGCAATTCCTTCAAATGAAGCTGATTTCCTGTATCTAAATCACTATTCAGAATCAGTTAAATTTTATTTATCCGAAGGCATTTTATGAATTATAAATTTTAAAAAAGCCGTATTTTAATTTGAGTATTGAAAATTATTAATACTGATTTTTTTTAATTGCCTAAATATGTTTCAATCTACAGTAATTTGTATTCATATTTATAGGGGATCGAAAATGCATGTAACCTATACATTACACACATTTTTCCAAAATTATTTAAATTCTCATACTTACAAGTCAATATCAACCTTCTTTAGTAATTCCATGGAAAATACCGAGTCGCATGTGGACGCAAAATATTCTTGCTCTAAAACATCAGAGTAGTAAAGCTCCATACTTTTCTTCTTGTGGGTACTGCATTTATACACAGTGTTGCATTTGCTGCATTTCAATTCGTACATAACTGCAACCGCTGGTTTAAATCTGGATCGAAATACATTGCAAACTTTTTGTCCAACATTCTTTAATTGACCGCAGCATGTGGTCACAGGCGGAATAATATTCACCATTCCAACTTTTGATATTCCCTTGGAAATATAATATTCAAAATCCTTCTGTACCAATTCAGGACCCACATTTAAAGGATAATCTTGAAATCGCGGCAGTATAACTTCTAAGGTCTGTACCAATGCCGCCACGTCTGATAGAGACAAAATCACAGCATCTGATCCCCGGTTATTTAAATTAAAAACATTTCGAATATGTTCATATCTTTGAGGTATTCCCGGTGGCAGAATTCTGATGTATTCCAAAATCTTCAGTATATCTTCGATTTTTCTAACTGGTTTCAATAAGTCATTCAAATCCATTATAAAAGTCTACATGTATATTCCCTAAATAAAAAATCACTTAACTGATCCAAAACAAATTAAAAAATTTTCCCGTGCATTTTGTCGTCGCTATAGTAAGTTTATCTCTGTCGTCACGTTAACGCCGTCACAATGGCAACGACGTTAAAAACTACTCACTTTAACGTCATTGCATGAAAACAAATTTAGGAAGTGGAAGGATGTCTGCATTTGTGCATCGAGACAGAATTCAAAATTGCTACAAGGAAACCATCAATGATCCATTCGATGAATTAACAAATGAAATGTTGCATTATACTGCAGTGTCGAATAGCGTACCGATTGAATTTTTAAATCCTCCTTTTCTAACTGGCATCGCGCATTTCCTGAACAAATCAGAAATTCGACCCTAAGGAAGCTGGACCCAACCTTCAATCATTTATTCTGCGACAGTCGGATTCACTGGAACAAACAAAACAGCAGCTATGGATGCTGTCCGAAATGCCATTGCCGAAGTTGAGAGTGCTACTGAAATTTGCGACATGAGGTCTAGAATGTACGAAAGCCTATTAGGACCAAAATAGAAAAAAAATTAAAAGGCGTTATAACGCCTTTTGAAAAGGCGTAATAACGCGCGAAAAAAGGCATTATAACGCCTTTTGAAAAGGCGTTATTACGCCTTTCCATTTCAAAAGGCGTTATTACGCCTTTTAAAAAGGCGTTATAACACCTTTCTAAAAGGCGTTATTACGCCTTTCCATTCTAAAAGGCGTTATTACGCCTTTCCGAAAGGCGTTATAATGCCTTTCTAAAAGGCGTTAATTCGCCTTTTCAAAAGGCGTGATAACGCCTTTCTAAAAGACGTTATTACGCCTTTCCAAAAGGCGTTATTACGCCTTTATTTTGAATACATAATTTAACATATTTAGCCCAACCGAGGGGTGGGGGGATGCAGAAATCTTACCTTTTGGACATTAATTTTACAATTTTATATAGGACTAATTCTTCAAAAAATAATTTAAACAGATAACAATTAGATTTCCAGAAAAAAAGATTTTTGAATGCGTCATATATTTGCATTGTTAAACCAACTAAGTCTTTCTTTAATACCAGACACACTTCTACCAAGGATCATTGATTTCCATAGCTCAGTATACCTATGCAAATCGTTTGCCTATTTTTTTCCAAGAAGAGAGAAAAAATATCTTCAAATGACATGAATTTTAACCCATGGCAAGCAAAGCTCCAAGATACACCTGTCTATATTGTATTTTCACAGGTAGAGTGTTGCCTTCTCTTAATATGCATGCAGACAGTTGTCAGTGTGATGTGCAGGAATATACAGAATTGCACAAATAGATATGGTTTTATTTAAATCTTTCATTTATTTATCAACAAAAAAATTGTTGTCGTTGTTGTCGTCGTAAACTTTTCACATTTTCATCTTCTTCTCAAGAACCACTGGGCCAATTTCAACCAAACTTAGCACAAAGTATCCTTGGGTGAAGGGGATTCATGTTTGTTCAAATGAAGGGCCACGCCCTTTTCCAAGGGGAGATAATCATGAATTTGTTAAAAATAAATGGCATTTTTAAAAAATCTTCTTCTAAGATGAAACTCATGTGGAATCATCCTCAGGTAGTGCAGATTCAAGTTTGTTCAAATTATGACCCCCGGGGCAAGGGTGGGGCCAAAATGGCCGACCCAAGTTTTACATAGGAATATATAGGAAAAATCTTTAAAAATCTTCTTCTACAGAACCACTGGGCCAGGAAAGATGAAACTCATGTGGAATCATCCTCAAGTAGAGGAGATTTAATTTTGTTCAAATCATGACCCGCGGGGCAAAAGTATATAGTTTTACATAGAAATATATAGGAAAAATCTTTAAAAATCTTCTTCTCCAGAACCACTAGGACAGGAAAGCTGAAACTCATGTGGAGTCATCCTCAGGTAGTGTAGGTTCTAGTTTGTTCAAATCATGACCCCTGGGGCAAGGGTGGGGCCACAAAGGCCGACTGAAGTTTAACATAGGAATATATATTAGGAAAAATCTTTAAAAATCTTCTTATCAAGAACCACTGGACCAGGAAAGATAAAACTCATGTGGAATCATCCTTAGGTAGTGCAGATTCAAATTTGTTCAAATCATGACCCCCGGGGCTAGGGTGATGCCAAAATGGCTGACCCAAGTTTTACATAGGAATATATAGGAAAAATCTTTAAAAATCTTCTTCTCCAGAACCACTGGGCCAGGAAAGATGAAACTCATGTGGAATCATCCTCAAGTAGAGGAGATTAAAGTTTGTTCAAATCATGACCCCCGGGGCAAAGGTGGGGCCAAAATGGCCGACCCTAGTTTTACATAGAAATATATAGGAAAAATCTTTAAAAATCTTCTTCTCCAGAACTACTAGGACAGGAAAGATGAAACTCATGTGGAATCATCCTCATGTAGTGCAGATTCCAGTTTGTTCAAATCATGTAGGGTGGGGCCAAAATGGCCGACCCAAGTTTTACATAGAAATATATAGGAAAATCTTGAAAAATTTTCTTCTCCAGAACCACTAGGATAGGAAAGCTGAAACGCATGTGGAATCATCCTCAGGTAGTGTAGGTTCTAGTTTGTTCAAATCATGACCCCTGGGGCAAGGGTGGGGCCATAAAGGCTGACCGAAGTTTAACATAGGAATATATATTAGGAAAAATCTTTAAAAATCTTCTTCTCCAGAACCACTGGACCATAGATGGTTGATAATGTCTACCAATTATAACGTCACTGTGAAATATGAATATTTAAAACTCACTGCCAGTGTCTTAACATTTACATTGATAGTTTTAAAATAATTTTTTATCAGAATATAAACGTGATTCGTGTTATAAATTCATTCTACTCTGTAAATTAGCTCGGCTCTCTGTACTTCTGAGTACTTAGATTATGTTCAATCAATCAGTTGAAGGTCTTAGAAAAATCCAATTTTTGTTACACATGAAAATAAGAGGTAAAATACATATCATCTGCCCAGATATCGGATACATATGCTCTCGCACATTAGAGGTCTCTCCCTTTATACAATGACATTTTAAAAATTGTCTGCTTGAGACTTCTTCTGGTCAAGCAGTGCATTTGACAAATAAACATCCCAGGCACGTAGCATCGTTTTTGAAAGTGGGGGGGGGGCAACCTGAAAAAAAATTTTACTTACTTAAAAAAAGTTGACAAGAGAAAAAAAGAGGAAAATTTCTCAAACTCGAAAATCCTATTTCGTGTAAGTGTGTGTATGTGTGTGTGTGTGGGGGGGGGGGGGGGGTGTAGTGGGCACCTTTTATAAAGGCAAACTTTTCACTTGTATGTGTATACTGTGGTAACAAGTGGGGGGCCAACCACCTTTTCGATAGACATTTTCTATAGTCAAGGTAATGTTTGGGGAAAAAGTGGGGGGCAAGCCCCCCCCCCCCCCCTGGCCCCCGGATACTACGTGCATGCATTCCAATTGCAAATCATTATTTATTGATCATTCAATTTTTGTAGCAACTAAGATTACCCCCCACCCCACCCTCATTACCTTTTAGTGACAAATAAAAGACCATCCTGTTTTTTTTTTATTCTTCCTTACAATTACTATCAAATAAATAGATAGATTTATAATTAAAAAAATAAATTAGTTTGAATTTTCGTTACAAATTCATTTTTAAGTATTTCATTATTTCACTGATCCGATGAACAAAAGAAAAGATTATTTTAGAAACAAATTCAGGTGTGTATTTATTTATTTCTTTTTCTTTTAATACAGCTGCTACAGTTGAATCACTATTAAGACAGCTGAATAACGACAGCCGTCAAATTCAGCTGTGGGATGAGCTCAAAACTTGGCAGAGCAGTCTCGGGCTGTACAAGACTGGTTCCGCATCCGACTACGATACGACTATATACATGTATCTGACAGCGTACAATGGTGGAACTTTAAAGAGACAAACTTGTAGCAGTGAGTCTTCTATTATTATTGATTTTGATTCATTCGGTTCAATTGCGCATATTTATTATTGTTAAAAAAAATAAATATTAATATCGATACAATCTTTTTCAAGTAACATCTCCATTCAAAAGCCTGTGGTAAATATCTGTGGAATGGCGCATCCTGGGGAAATTTGCAGGTGCCTTGACGAGGAGAAAAAATGCCAACTCTAACGATGGTTTATACAGCCGATTCCTCCTTTGCATGCCAAAACCGGAATTCAGAGATGCGGATTTAAATGAAGAAATCTTACCTAATACCCATAGTCTGGCCAGGTAATAAGAACGTACATTATCATTTATTTCTGTCTTCATAAACATTTTAAAATGTATAAACGTTTTGAAAATATGATACAGCCATGTAATGGAAGGGGCAGAAAAAATTCAAAAAAAAAAATTGGCTTAATTGAAAAGTTGACAAGTAAAAAAAAAATGCCCAAGATAGGCCAATTTCGTTCAGTACCAAATTTTTGCATTCATTCTATATTATCCTGATATCAATTACTTGTATTATACAGTGGGGGAGGGGGGAGCAGACTTTCCATGAACATTTCCAATAGTAAAAGTAATATTGGGAAAAAAGTGGGGGGAAGGCATGTTCCCTTTGCCCCTCCCCCCCTTGTTGGTAAATACCTGTTATGCATTTAATTTGCTAATATAAAGTTATAGTAATTTTCTTCTATGTAGAATTATCAACGGAAGTTTAACACTCTGGAATTAATTTGCAGGATGTCTAACAGTTAATCATACTGGACACAAATAATGTAGTGTACATTTAACAATTCTCTCATCTCCTTTCAGAGTTTTCTATGTGGTAGATCAAACACATAAAAATAAAAGATTCTATATGTATGACAATGACGCTCAGAAATTGGCTGTGAAGTTCTACAATGAGCAACAGGAATTCCTTCGGGAAAACCACAGCGCTGATACATATATATCTGGTATGTTAAGAAATGTACAAATGTCATGTTCTTAATTTTATTCATTGCTTTGGGCATTCACACTGGTCAAATTTCACGTGCGAGAGCAACATTATTTCATTTTTAAATATAATATAGTACATATGAATCAAATCTTTTGGGCGTTCCTACAAACTTCACAGAATCTCCCCCACACCCCTCCTATCAATTCAGACCCGCATGCGTAAATTCTATCCCTGTGGATATCCAATAACTATTTGTTCATTAAAAACTCAAAGATGCAAGATACGTTGTGGCACTTTATCAAATGATATGGAGACTTAGTATGATTAAGAAGTATTTTTTTATTTTATAGGAATGTTGGGAAAACTGAAAGGACATACCCAGCGCCTAGCAATGATAATTCAGGCAGTCCTTAATGCAGCCGAATTTCTGGTATCTGTTGGAGAGTCGTCTAACCAGCCAATCACGTCTGAATTTCAAGACATAGTAAAGAATCGCCTCTTCTTGCCTACTGATGTTGATAACATTTGTTTGATTAACACGCAAAGCACAGAAAAATCCATCAACCTTGCAAAATATTTCATGAATCACAAAAAGTATCTGTCTGGATATACAGCTGCAGGAGTCCTTGAGCAGTCTTGCAATATCATTCCACAACTAACAAGAAAGATCCTTCTTTATCCAGGACCATCCGTTCCATGCAACGCCATAACAAGGAGCACGAGAAATACGGCTGAGCAAGTAAAAGACGAAATGAAATCTTTGTGCGAGCAAGGACTTGGCGAAACAAAACATGAAAAGCCGCAAGGTGGAGGGCGACTGATTTTCACTTTCATAAAAAAACCCACCCAAGACATTTCTCTTGAAAGTACCATACAGATGACAAACACTCTTTCCAAGGTTGGAATAGACA